GAGGAGTTCTTTTTTTGTGTCCTGATCGCCTTCCGGGGTGAGGGTATGTGTTGTACCATGCCCAAACCTTCGCGCCCCCCGCGGAAGGGGGGGGGGGCTGGGGAATTCTGGAAGTTGAAGTCCACACATCTTCAAGCCGCCAAGGTTGAGAAACACTGCTTTGGCTCCTTGAGTCCAATCCACTGCACAGATAAAAAATAAAATTAAAGCGTCTCTGACAGATATCTATCCAGCCTTTCCTTGAACACTTTTAGCAAAGGGGAACTGACCGCTTGCGTAAATAAGCGGTTCCAATGTCAAACTCCTCTTATTATAAGAAAGTTCTTTCTCCTGAGGTTCACCTGGAATCTGCCTTCTTGTAACCTAAGGTCATTATTTTGTATACTGCAGGTCAGAGGAACAACCCTTCCCGTGTATACCGAGCACTAACGTATTTACCTCACAGCCATCTTTTCTCAAGGCATCAGACTGACTGAACTCAGCCTACTTAAAAATAATTCAGAAGTTCTCTGAACCTTGTGCATATACAGCACCTTTTTGCTCTCTATTAAAACAGCTGTGGCTTTTTTTTTTTCAGACTTCCACATGAGTCTCCCCACTACAACCCCAGAATGTTAATACTTTATATGAATTGAATAACTAAAATGGCACTTTTTAATGCAACCCTTATATCTGCCCGGCCACCAAAGCTTAATTCTTCATGCATATAAAGTCCCATAAAGTGACCACAGCATAACATAGTTTTACAGCTAAGCACATTTATGAATGGGTCTGGTGGTATATGTGGGGAAAATGTACTTTTGTTTATTTATATCAATTTATATTATGAGAATGATGGCTAACCTTAACCAAGAGGCTAGAAAACGTGTTAAGGCAAGAGTTAAGTGTATTCTGATTATATAAACATGGAAAAGTGAACCAGGTAGTTTTTTTACAGGTACTGTGAAGCTGACTAGAAGGCTTAAAGTCCACTTTGCTGTCCTTTTGAAATGTATTGCAGAGTTTCAAGTTCAGAATCGGGAAGATAGGGTGAAGTAAGAGTTCCTACAAATGAGAAAATGGCCCACCCCTAAGTCCCCAGGAATTTCAGCTCCAGTATCACCAAGCAGAAAAGTTGCAGCACTGATTCTAGATTGGTGCAAATGCTATGCATGGAGTGGCCTTATCTTCCCATCATGTCTTCCCATGATGCACTGATGTTACCTAGTTGAGTAATGAAACATCTGCAAACAAACAACCAAGCTCAGTGAACACCAAGTATTCCACAGTTCAACCCTGAGCTACAGATATTCTCTTCGATTGGATGTTAGCAGCGTCTGGATAGTTGAACTGGCTGGCTTTTATTCTTTTTATCTATAATTCTAATAAAAATTATTTGAAAAAAAAGAAAAAAAGGATAGTTGAACTGATATATTTCTCACTCAAATGCAGTGTTATTGGAAATGCTTTGATTTCAGAGAGCTTTCTGTCTATATGTGTATGTGTCTATGACTGAGGCTTTTTCCCCACTGAAAAGAACAGATCTTCAGGCCTTGTAAGGGGTATGCAAGCTTAGCAGATCTGCAGCTCTTCCTCAGTAGGTCAGATCAAAGGGGAA